AATAAAATTCAATTAACTGCCCAGCCCTATCTAAAGCTGAAGCAAATTAGCAACTTACGAACAAACAGGTTTCCTCTAAAGGATCGTTACTGCCAGACCACCATCATCTCAAACAGAAAAAATGATTAATCGGCCACAACCTCGGCCTCGCCACCCACCCAGTTAATGTGTCAGCGAAGTGTTATGAAGTCCAGTTTAAGTGGCCACTAAACACATAAGGAGAAGCACAACTGAATGAAGTTACCCTGCTTTTGTACAGCAGGAGATGGCACTCAAAATGTCTATGTGTCAGTTTTCTGTGCCGCTGCTGCTCCCTAATTGTGACACACAACAGTGCACACTCATGCTTTGGGCCTTGAGAGACATTGTTAAAAAGTACAGACCTCAGTCACTTTCACAATCCAAGGGTTTTATTGAAGACAGAATTGTTCTCTCTGAACTTCCAATGATATCCTTTGTGAGACTGGGGGAATGCTCCTTGTCCAAGTCAGAGATTCTCAATAAGCTTCTGAGCAATTCTCAGCAGTACCATGACACCTTTGTTCACCATGATATGGAGTGTGGCGACAGTCCAAGAAGAATATCTGATGGACTGACTGAAATTACTTGGTACCTTCCTTGTGGAAACAAAAACATTGATATTTTCAGTGAGCCAGTAGCTGTAGCTAACCTTCGTGGGGACATTACTTCATTTGAAACACAGTTTTCTTTTTTGTGTCAGACATCTGCTGCAATTTTTGTGTTCTTTGACAGTCTAAAATCTGGATGCAGACTTCTGACCAACCAGAGCTACAAGGCACAGATCGTCTTGGTGGGTAACCATCAGAGCAAGACCTTCAGTCTAGATGCTTTAGAACAAGTTGCAACTGAGTTGGGCTTGACTAACAACAACATTGTTTTGAAGACTAGGCGGATGAATGACGCAGACTTCGTCAAAAATTTGAGGAAAACTGTCAGCGACGTAGTTGAGAACTCAAAGATGAAGATGTGCATAGAGCAGATGGCTGACATTGCTCATGAACTGGGAATCTTGGTTGATGAAGACTGTGCAGAGTGCCAGACTGCCAAGAAAAATGCAGATGCCATCGCTGCGGAAATCAAAGACACCCTTAAATACAAAGAAGAGCAGCTTCCCCTGCAAGGCCAAATATGGAAAGACCTGACGAGCTTAGAGAAGGAAGAATTTCGGCTTCGAAAAGTTGGGTCTGAGGACCATAGAAAAATACAAAAGTGATCTTCAGGTACAGAAACAAAAACTTCGGGAAAAACAGAACTCTTATGACATTTCAAATGCAATGACATGTTTCATCCATGCAATATCAAGCCCAGGGACAGAGAGATGTTATTTCCTGAAGTGGATTCGAATTAATCTTGACAACCTGTCTCGAGACAAAATGTCTTTCCTCAGGGAACAGTACAAAGAAAAATCCAAGAATTCTGAGAACAAAAATGTGCTTAAAGACATTGACAGAGAACTTTCCAACAGCTCACTGGGGACTGAACACTTCTTCCGTGAAATGGGTCAGATCTACGAAGCTTCAGTGTCCCTTCCAGAAACAGACCCATCACGTCAACAGTTGCAACATCTGCCCAAACTCTGTGCAGGATTGCTGCTGGATGGATTTCCCCTTGAGCTTGTAGATGGAGATGCCTCCAACATACCTCTCAGATGGGTGAGTGATGTTCTCTCTCAGCTCCATGACTTGGTGTATCCCAAGAACAAGATACTGGTAGTCACAGTTCTTGGAGTTCAGAGCACAGGAAAGTCCACTCTTCTTAACACCATGTTTGGAGTGCAGTTTGCAGTCAGCAGTGGTCGATGCACTCGAGGTGCTTTTATGTTGCTCATCAGAATCAATGAAGATGTCAAAAAAGTGCTCAACTGTGACTTCATGGTGATCATTGACACTGAGGGCTTAAAGTCACCAGAGCTTGCACAACTGGATGACAGCCATGAGCATGACAATGAGCTTGCAACACTTGTCGTGGGGCTGAGTGATATCACCATCATTAATATTGCAATGGAGAATTCAACAGAAATGAAGGACATCCTGCAAATAGTTGTGCACGCTTTTCTCAGGATGAAAGAGGTGGGCAAAAAGCCGAAATGTCAGTTTGTTCATCAGAATGTATCAGATGTTTCAGCCCATGACAAGAACTTAAGAGACAGGAAACTGCTCTTGCAACAGTTAAATGAGATGACGCAAGCAGCCGCCAAAATGGAAAAGAAAGAGGAGAACAAGAGCTTCACAGATGTGATGGAGTACAGTCCAGATACTGGGAACTGGTACATTCCTGGACTCTGGAATGGAAACCCACCAATGGCACCGGTCAATGCAGGGTACAGCGAAGCTGTATATGAGCTCAAGAAAAACATCATCCATCTACTTGGAAAATGTGATTCATCTGCTAATGATATCTTGGCGATTAAAGAGTGGATGTCAAGCCTGTGGACTGCAGTAAAGCATGAAAACTTCATCTTCAGCTTCAGAAACAGTCTAGTGGCTGATGCATACATGAGGCTATGCACAGAATCCAACAAATGGGAATGGGAATTCAAAAAAGACATGTACAAGTGGGTTACAAATGCTGAAACAAGAATTTCAAATTTCAGAACAATTGCTTCAAAGTCTGAAATAGCTGACATGAAAGATCTTCTCATGTCTTTGAGAAGTGAAGCCTCCACAGTGCTGTCTAAGTGGGAGACAAAGCTTCTTGAAAATTTGACGAAGTACTTCAAGCAAAAAGAGGGTCATGTCTATCTAGTAGAAGGATACAAAGAGGACTTTGCAAACAGTGCAAAGAGCCTTCGACGAGAAATGGAGAACTCTGTGTTTCATCAGCTCACTGCAGCAGCAGAAATCAAACAGGGAATGAGAGAACTTGATATAATCAAGGAAAATCACACAAAAGAAATTGAAAAGGCAGTGTGCGCACTGATTGATCAATGTCGGAAGAAGAATGTCCAGATGAGAGATCAAGAGCTGGACAAGGAATTTGAGAAGATGTGGAATGAAACAGTGAAGAAACTGTCTTTTTCTGAACAAAAGGCAACAGATGTCGTCACCAGTGTATCCCACTATCTGAGAATAAATCTATCACACAAGGGGAGCCATGCATGTGAGTTGTTGAGTAAAAAAAGCCTGAGAGATTGTGGCAAAATGCCTTTCAAATATACAGAGGAGGGATTCTGCAAACAAGTTAAACACCAAGTGAGCAAATGGATGAGCGGGCAAGATCACATCATGATGGTACAAAAAATGGCTGACAGTATCATCGCTGTTTGTTTTCAGTTTTTGACTCAAAAAGTCAATAGAAAAAACAATTACTCTGACACTTACATCCAGGAGATGCTACACATGATTGATGAGAGGCTGCAAAACAATCAGGATGTAAAGACAGGCATTGAGTTCGAAGTTTCTCTAAAACAACACATCTGTGGAGTTGCAGCCAGAGTATTTCAGAAAATGCACGAAGATTTCCTACATGTGAATGATCCTTACAGATGTCTGAGTCAAAACAAAGGGAAGTTTTGTGCTGATTTTAAAGATGTGTTTCATAAACGAGACCAGTGCCAGAAGAAGGCAGAAGAATTCACCAGCCAATGCTTGAAGCCTGCAGTTGAGGACTTCATCAACCGTTCCCTGGGTCCTGATATCATTGATGAGATGCTGACACAACAACAGTTCAGCACAAGAATATCCTTCCAGTATTCAGTTTTACTGGATTTGCTTTCAAAGGATAAGTTTGAAAACTATTTGAGCTACATTTGCTCATATGAGGAATATGTGAAGAAGTGGATACTCGACCAGATAGTGACTCACTTCTCAAATGCTTCTAAGATTTCTGAGTTTGAGGCTCATCATATTCAGTCAAGTATCAGGAGCATAAATGATGCTATCAACAAGGCAAAAATGAAAAAGAGTAACTTGAAGACATTTGTTGATCATGTGTGTCAGGAACTTGGAGCTAAACTGGTCATTTCCCAGGATGCTCTTAATGCTTTCATGATTCTGAACAACGCAAACCAGGAACAGTTTGCTGACTGGTTAACAGAGTGTGTAAATGAGATGGGAAAAGCTCTTAGAGAAGAGTTCAAAAAATCAAACATCCAGAAGAAACTGAAGCATCTTCATTTGAAGCCTCAGAATGAGATTTTCACTAGACTGATTGGATGTGGTAAACAGTGTCCGTTTTGCAAAGCTCCATGTGAGGCGGGAGGAAAAGCCCATACTGAGCACTGGGCTTCAATTCATCGCTCCAATGGTCTTGGGCAATTCAGGTTTCATGACTCAGAAAAACTTGTAACGGATATATGCTCTTCTCTTGTGATCAGTGACCAGCACTTTCGATGCTTTGCAACAAATTTTGAATGGCACCCTTACAAGGAGTACAGTAACATTTTCCCCACCTGGAGAATTCCTCCTGATGTAAGCCTCGAGGCATCAGACTACTGGAAATATGTGATGGCAACATTCAACAAAAAGTTTGCAGAAGAGTATAATGCAAAGCCTGCTGATATTCCCTCAACCTGGAAAAGAATTACAGATAAGCAGGCAAAAGCCAGCCTTCAACAGTCATTCAGCATCAAGTAAGAAGTATGGCTGTCACGTTGTCAAAAGATACTGCCAACACTGCTATGACACTGTGATTTTTTTAGATCAGCCAGCGAATTACACATTGAGATTATGTTTGTACAGTATTTGCAATTTTAATAAAAAAAAAATACTAATCATAGTGCAACTAACATTTTCTTTTTACTTATTTTGAGTGCGCAGAGGTATAAGTCCCCCTGCTATGAACATTTTGAGTTTAAGCTTTGACATACAGGTAAATGACCAAAAGTAACATAATGTATATAAAATGACAAGCCAATACACTCAGAAATATTTTACCATTACAGTTACAAACGGGGATTGAATTGAAAACCAGTGCAAACTGGTCACATTTATCCAAGACTATATTTCACACTTGACCTGTTTGTAAGAAATAATGGATCTTCTTTATGTTTTGATGATATGTTACACTTTACATTTTGAGACTTTATATGACTGTATATGAGACTTTATATGTTAGAAGCACATGCGGAAATGTTAACCTCTGTATTTTGGTGTGAGCTTAGTTGTATTTTATTCATTTTTAGTATTTGAATGGTATACATGAAATCAATATGATAATAAAACAAAGAATTATTTTTTCAATTTTTCAGAGTCTGGAATTAGTTCGTTTTTCTTTGGGTCTATAAATAATTTGAGGCAGAAGTTACAGCTACAAAATAATTTAAGGGCCATTTAAACTGTCAACAAGTGATCGTGTCAACAGACACTGATAACTGTCTGAATAAAGAAACAAAATCAGCCGTCTGGCTATGAATGTCTTTAATGTTTCCCAGATCAGAATCACAGCATACAGTGTATAATAACTTCTAAAGTAAACAGAAATATCATCACCTCATTTATTTATATAGTTTTACTTTACTTTTTTTTAATAATCATCTTTTTTTAAAATTCCTTTATTTAACATTTTTCTTCATCTCAAGTCTTGGGTTTCTGAATTCAACAAAGAATGTAAAAACAAGACAACAGGTGCAATTTTGCAAGCTGAAGATTTATGTGAGTGTGTATGCGTCATTGCATGTTGTGTATGTTTGCCAGTGTGGGGTGTTAATCATGTGCTTTCATGCATCATTGATCCGGGATCTCTAAATAACCTCACTGATGTGCATGAAGTCACCTTACTTCAGTTTATTGGCATGTTAAAATGAGACTAAACTGAAATCCAGCGCCAACTGTGTGAACCACAGGGCTGCAGTGAGTCACTTTGGTTAAGTGTGCGTCCACATACTGCACATCCAGTCTGATCCACTGTTAAGCACACATGCTCAGAGTCAGACAGACTTTTCTGCTTTACTTCACGTCATCCATCTCTCATCTGTTCAGGACTATTTTCTGCTACATCACGTCACTGTAAGGGCAACACAACTTCCATAATCACAATGCAACACAGTGTGTGGAAGGAAAACGTTGGACCGCATGTGTGGTAGTGTTACTCTATGAGGATATGAGGCATCTTATGGTATCAAAGCCCTCATTGTCTGTCCCACATGTGATTACGTGGCTACATGTAAACACTGCTACATGTGAAGTGAGCTAACATTTAATTGACTGTACTTGCGTTAAGTGTCTCAGTTTAGAAGTCCTGACCGTGAATCACTGGCCAGTTCCCCACACCGTCACCATCATTACATTAGTTAGCTGGCAAAAGGCAAAGCTGGCTTTTATCAGTACTCTTAGCCTCTGAAAGTCACACAGATCAAGCAGCACAGATTCATCAGGAGTATACTTAGATCAATTTCAAAATAAAAGTTTGCTGAAGGTTGAAAAGAAAAAAAAGATGCAGAGGAGTTGATGCTTCTACTACAACCCCAGAACAAATGCTAACTACAGCATCTCATGTGGGGGCTGAAGGGGGGGGGTGAACTCTGCTACAGTGACTTTCCTGATTCATGATGCTACAGGATGCCCATGTGGTAATGGGCAATGTGAGAACAATAAAACAAAGGGAAAAAAAATAATATTTTTGAATGCTGTGAAAATGAATGAATTTGAAACCTCAAGATAGTGGCCTTTGTTTTTGTTTGTTTTTTCTTTTTTGTCTTTTTGCAAACTGCACCTGTTGTCTTTTGTTGTCACAAAATAAGCATTTCATTCATTCACTCAAAAAAAAGAAAAAAAGAAACAAACAAGAAACTTAATATTTACAAATATTTTGTCTGTTTGATTCTTACACTTAAAAATGTACAGTTTAGATTCTCTTCCAGATGTTGTGTGTCTCTTGTCCTGTCACCCAGTTTGGTATTTTTCTTCACACATCCAGTTTCGTCAGAGTGGCCAGACTGCAGTGAATCTGGCACAATGGCGCCCTCCAGTGTTAGCTTATAAAATAGACAAAGAAAAAGAACAGACCAAACTGAATACCTTGTTTCTGTTGTCACCTCCAGTGGTGCCATTGTAGCTGTGTTGTGATGAGGTTTACTCCACAACCCCTCACTGCCTCCTTATCCACAGGAGTGAGTACAAAAGGGTCCATATCCTCTGTAGGACAGATTAGCAAGGTGGCAAACATTGTGGGTAGAAAGATGGCCATGCCTTTGAATTTCCTTATTTGCTAGTGATCAGTTCATCATCTCCTTTGATTCTCTTCTGATTCTGATTTCTACATTTAAGGCTGTGAGTCTTTTTTTCCCAATCTCCTCCCAAAGTCTCTTCTCCACAGCGTGCACCTTTTCCTGCGCTACTGTCCATCATCTGTTCCACAGCATTTGTCCACCTGCAGCACACCCAAGTCAGCTGTTTTGTGTTTTACATTGTGCACATTTCCCTTTCAGTAGGCGTACAAAATCTCTGACAGGAGCAGCCAGTTACTGTATATCTCTCCCCTGCCAGCCCTCCCCCACCACCCCGTTAGGCAGTAATAAAATAGAAAACAAACAAACAGGCTAAAGCTAGAGCACAAGCAAAGACAGCACCGGTGACTAACTTCTCCCATACCGGATGTAGGCTACCATGGGTTCCTGTGGGCTCAAACAACAGCACATCAGTTCAGTTAACATACTGTATTAACCAGATTATAACCCAAGATCCATGTTTGAGATCCATAGCAGAGAATCAGAGGGGGGCATTGCTGAGCTGTAGGCCTGTACATCCTCACCCCGAAATAGAGAGGAATCAGAAACAGCAGTTGTCAAGTGTGTTGCTTTTACCCTGTTTAGGAGATCCGAGCCTCCTTTTCATCTCGCAGCTCTGTGCTGCGGGCCGCGAAGACCCACCGGTTACCCTCAGTGTGCTTAGAGTTTAATTTACAACTGATGAGCTCATAAAAACTCACTAGCTTAGTGAACTAACCCTTGAATGGGAGGATAATAGCAGAGCTGAACTGAGGTCAGAAATTGTGTAGAACGGTGCTGACACAGTGAAGTCAGGAGTTTCATGGTCATGACGGGTGATCACTGCAATGTGGGCATCAGCGGTGAAGACAAAGCTAGTGATGGGAGGAGGAGAAGGGAGGGAGGGAGGGAGGAAGTGATGTTCATACGGAGGAGGAGGGGGGGGGCGGGGGTGTTTGGAGGTAAGCAGCAGGAAGGAGCTCATTGTGGAGTCTAAGTTTTTACCTGTCTGCCTCTCTATCTCCTTACTGTCTAATTAGGGCCCACCTATACCAATGTGAAGCAGTTTGATACCACATGCACACTTACACACACACACACACACACACACACACACACACACACACACACACACACACACCACACACCACACACACACACACGCATTTTCTCTCACAGGCACACATCAAAGAGAATATGCATGTGCTGGAAATAGGGGTGCAGACAGGAGAGGGAGGGTGTAAGTAAAAGAGCAGAGGCTGCCTGTCTCTGCTTTGTTTCTCACCCTCACTGAAATACAAAAATAATTCCGTACACGCCGGCTACAACAACAGATTTGGTACCTCAAATACCCTAAAAAAAAAAAAAAGCAAAAAAAAAAAAGCAATGCATTTCCATACAGATGGAAAGAAGAAGTAGCGACTTGAGGATGATGGGATGGGATAGCTGTTGGCGTGTTGCATCACCTGGTTGGAGAAATCCCTCTAAATGACATCATGAAGGAAGAGAATGAATGGAGGAGTGCGTTCACAGTTGTTGCTCTGACCGTAACATCTTCTGAGATTTGTGGTCGATGACTCCTTTTTAATAAACGAGTGTCGGGTTGGGAGGTGAAGAGGTGGATTTTGTTGACTTACTTCAGGATTTCCTGTGATGCTCTTATTCTGTGAGGTTAAACAAAGACCAATATCCAAAGTGGACCGATATGATTTGAGTAGATTTGGGAAACGTGCATTGACAGATACAGTGTCCTTTCCCCCCGTCATCATCTTTAAAAATAATTCATGCATAGATCCCCACTGAGAAAACCCATTTATATACTTTCTCCTTTGTACACATTTATATATAACTATATATAATATCATTTCTCTATATCTATATTTTCAGCAAAAATTCTTTCCACAAAAACAACGATTAAACAAATGCTTGAAAAAAAAGAAACAGAACATGAAAGAAAGAAAAAAAAAACACAATCGAGGGCCAGTTTGGCACTTTGTCATGAAAACACACAGCATCTGTTAGTTGACAGTAAATAGGAATACTCTAGAATTTTCTTTAGTTTTTTTTCCCTCGATGAGAAAGCAAACACAGTAGTACATACTTGGCACCAAGAATGCTGGTAGAATGAAAGTATCGGATATCAGTGTTTTCATAGCTATATGCTTACTGTATGTACTCTATGCCCCCTCCTACAGCTCAGTAGTTTATGATTCCTTAGAGCGAAGGAGCACTGGGGAGAGGGAGAGAATCACATGTTGAATAAGGGGAACAAAGCAGGGGATAAGACACAGATGTAGAAAAGAGAACGATATATGCACATAATACACCAGTGAGAGAAAAAAGAGATGACACCAAAGTAAAAGCATCTTGTCCCTTTGACAAACGTCAGAGGGCTTTAGTCTGGAAACGGCAGACTTTCTTTGAAAACAGTATCTTTAAAAGATCTAAATCACCCCCAGAGCTGATCATCTGCTGCCTTGCAGTTCAGTTGCTTCTCCACACACCACCAGTGGAGGGAGCTGCTACGTTTGACAGCACATGATGGAGGAGGTGGAGTTGCTTTTGGAGAAACAAGAGAATAAGAGAACAGAACAAAGGCCCACATCCAGAGGCCTCCCCTCTAGATCAGTGGCACAGCCAGTCTTCCTGGTCCTTATGTGGCGCTGTGTCAGGGCAGTCCCTACTATACTCTGGTTGTGGAATGGGGGTGGGGCAGGGTGTTGTTGTGGCCAGTGGAGGGGAAGGTGTTAAAGGCATGAAGAGGCTGCATGCTGGTGATGGTACTGGGGATCATGGTGATGGTGTTAGGTGTCATCAGTGGCACGTCGTCGGGGGCGCGGCGTAGCGCCAGCGTGTAGTCAGGCGGGCAGGCGGGCCGGAGGATGTCGTGGGGCCGCAGCGGCTCCATGTCGTGGTGAGCGTCGTGCTCTGAGTGCTTCATCTGAAGAGACATGATCTCCTCCTCCTGACTGTGAGCCAGGTCATTGGCAGGGCCGCCCCGCTGAGGAGACAGCCTGTGGCGCCGCATCTCATGCCGCTTGTCACGCTTGTAGTAAAGGGCGGCAAAGGCCAGGATGTTGAGGAAGAGCAGCGACGCCCCCACAGCGACTGTCACACTCAGCTCAGTGGAATAGTCCCGGGTGTCTCCGGGGAAGAGGTCCTGGTGGGGACGCTCCGAACCCTCAGGCTCCGGGTCAGACGGGAATGTAGGGTAGGGGTGACGAGTGGTGCGGGGGCCCGGTGTTCTGGGCCAGGGCCCGTAGGTGCCCGGGCGAGGGCCTGGCGGTGAGCGTGTAGTGGTGGGGAAGAGCACCTCATGCAGACTGTGGAGGTGGGGGACTAACTCCAGCCAGAAGGCCACCTTGTTGGCTCTGTAGTTGTCTCTAACACGAGGCTTTAAGCCGATGTGGAGGTACTGCTTGTCCTTCGAGTTGAACTTGGTCCAGATGACCTCTTCGAAGCGGTTGGGCTTGGTGTGGATGAACTTGGTGTCCTGAGGGACTGGCAGGTTGGGGTCCCTAGTGGACGAAAGAGGGGGCATCTCAGTTATAGGTTTCAAGTCAAGGTTTTAATCAATCAGGTTCAAATATTTCTTCATTGTGTTGATATCTAAGCTCTGTTAGAGCTTTTTTATTTATGAACTTACAGCAACGTGAGACAGTGGACTAAACTTTAAAAACTCTACGACCATCTGGTGAGAGAAATCAACCTTCAGGCACTTCTACTCTACCACCGAGGAGGCACTGCACTAGCTGGTTGCACCACAGAGCAAAAAGGAAATAAAAAATATACTAATATGAAATAAAATCATCAGCAAGGCCTACCCAGTTTTGGCAAAGTTGGTCCAGTAAGTCATGACCACGGCGCTCAGCATCACATCGTTCTTCGAGAAGTTGCACGGGAACAGATCTGTGGCACCGATCATGGGCACACCAAACACGTACGGTATCTCATCTCCGTGGGCGGCGTCGGCCCACTCGGGTCGCGTCTCGGTCTGGCAGTGGTGGTAGAACGTGTAAAAGTAAACTGGGGACTGAAACTCAGCGTGGAGTTTGGCAGTGGCCACTGCTGGCGCCACCCACTGGTGGTCGGTAAACAGAGCTAACAGGGTCTTCCTCCGCATGTCGCCGTTGTCCCTGTCTGCCCAGTCGGTGTACATGAACTTGATGGTCTCCCTCAGGATGTCTTTGCCTGGAGGGTGAGACGTGGGAGGGGGAAAAAAAAGGGTAAAGGGAAATAGAGAAAGTTGAGAGGAAAGTTGTGACAGTGATAGAGCAGTTTGAGAGATGAGACTGGTCAATAGATGTGAAACAGAGGGTGGAGGCAGACAGAAGAATTGAAATGATGGATGGGGGAAAAAAATGAAGCGGCCTCTGTTTGAATGTGTTGCACTGTATGTGTGTGAGACGGAAAAAAAGTGCAAGGACAGACTGAGCAACAAAAACAAAGAGTACGTCTCTCAGAGAGGGGAATGAATGACAGGCACTTGAGATGGAGTGTGACTGCATTATCCAAATGTGCGTGTATTTTGACTGTGGCCCGCTGTGAGGGGTTTGCAGGTTGATCTGTTAGGAACAACAGCACTGTGATTGGGAGCTGGCTGCCTGGGGGATGATGAGAGACAGCATTAGTGCCCACAGAGCCTCAAAGGCCAAAGCACAGACCCACCACGGTGAAAGATAATCTCAATGATAGGCAGCCTCTTTAGTATGCCTGTCTTGGTTGATACACTTCACTGGGCTCACATTTTATCTCGTCTTGTTCTTTGCCCACATAATGTTTTAAAGAGTTGCATTTCTACTGGGAGCTGTAGTTTTGGACAAGCTGTTGTTGATGTATTTTTGCTGAAAGAATATAATAATTGAAACTGTGTTTATAACAAAAAAATGAAGCACTTCTTTTTTTGAGAATCTAAAAAGTAGAACTGTCGTGTAGGCTATAATGTGACATCTAGCTCAGGTCTTAGGGAATATATTTATCATACTAAAACTTGTTAATAATTTATACTGTTCATGTTTAAAGATATACTATATTTTGACAATTTGACTCCTTTATTTTCACCCCTTTAAAAAAGATTGCATCTTAATTGGCTCCAGAATAAACCAGGAATGATGCTGCAAAATTCAGTCATCTGAGAGGAGTTAGTAGTTAGTTATATAAACAAATTTGATCTGAAAGATGAATACAGTTACCTTCAGGGTATCCGTAGAGGTTATCGACAAAGTTGGAGATGGTGTAGTCGAATGCCGCGGCTGAGATGCCATCGTTGTCCTCACTGTCATCTACAAACTTCAGCCCCTCTCCCTGATTCACTCCTATTAGGATGTCATAGTTGAGGAACTCCCCCTGGTGGTGAAATAGAGGAAGAAAACACTGAGTGCTGAAATTATATTCAAAGGAAAGGGTTTCCAGTCTCTGTTTATGACATATTTCTAAATTCACTACAACTACAAATACTGTTGAATACAATTTGGTTTTTTGTATTCATCTGTAAGGTCGGATCAGTGTATGTGATATTTATGCCAAGAAACCTGGACCACCGCCACAAGCTCAGTTAGAGACAGGAAGAAGAGATCTAGTTTTAATACCACCATGTGTTATCATCAAATACATCACATTTGTTTCATTATAAGATGCAAAATACCTCAAAGATGAGCTCTACACAAACAGCATTTCACAACCTGTAAGCGCCGGTCTTGTGGAGTTTTTAAAGTCTACAGTATCAATTGATGCACAACAAGAGCTCAGTTTGAGATGTGGCTCATTTTTCTCCTCAAATGAGCCAGAAACCTTCTGAAGCTACCCTCTAATTATTTCGTACAGATTATGAATTGTGATGACCTAAAATAGGAAATACGGAAAAGAAAAACACAAAATAAGAAAAAAACGAAATTCTCCTTCAAACAATTATGTTCATTTTTTGGACTATTTCTTATCTTTTCTTTGATGTTGTGAAATACTGTATAATTCTGCGTCTTAAAATTATTCCAATCAAGCTGAGAAGAGAAAATCACTTTTTGATTGAATTGCTCGCTATCCAGACGTGCACCCTGTGATGAAGGCTTTGCAAGTACACAATGCTTTGTATTAAAGGATCACAAAAAAAAAAAAAAAAAAAGGTTGTGAACCATGGGTCTAAAATATACCACCAAGGCAATGTACATCTCCAACATCATCCATTATGACTTCATACCACCTGGTAAAGGTCACCGCCACACCCCAACTCTGTGCAAAGGTCACACTGCAACAAGTTTTTTTGTGTTCTCCTCTGTCTGTCGTGTCAATAACCGCAGTATAAGTATCACATCTGCTACTGGTGTCAGACCCTCACCTGCTGCATGAGGATCTCCGGATCATCGGGCACGACATCGCCATCCACCACAGGGCCAAAGGCAATGTGGTAGCGGGCTGGCTGGATGTCCTGGTCCACCAGCTCCCTGAAGTTCTTGCGTCTCAGGCAGTCAACCAGGTCGGCCGTCTCCGTGTAGGTGCAGCCCACCTTCCGGGCCAGGATCTTGGTGTACTTTAGGGGCTGGTAGTTGACGGACCAGCTAGAGATGGCCGTTCCACTTTGGGCTATGGCCCTGTGAAACAGACCTGCAGGGACAAATGGAAAAGAATCTATATTAATGTATGAGGGGATAAATTCGGTCTTTTAAGGTCCTAAAAACATGGTAAAGTGTTGGTGGTCTCACTGGATGTCATGTGCATTTCCCCCAGTTTTTAGTATTTTCTGCCGGCAGGATGGAGCTCTGTGAAGTTTTGAAATAGGACACGATGCAGAAAAACTATTTGATGTGGATCATATCATCATATCAGGTTCTCTTTGTCTACTTTTAGAATTTCCCCGTATTAGAAAACTAACCCTTTTTTATTTTATCTCATCGCTCTCACTTGAGCAAAAGCTGGCAGATAGGGAATGAAACTAAATCACAGAGAGAGCATGCTCTGGTGCTGTAACTAAAAAAAAAAAACAGAGGCAGGACTGGGAGCAGGCTCATCTGAGATTTTATAAAGAGCCATTTTCCCTTTTTCTTGCACTGGCTGTTTTTTTCTCTCAGCCTCTCTCTGGCTATGTTTCCCCCTTCCTCTCTTCCTCTTTGTCTCTCTCTGTCTCCTTAGTTCTGCCTGTCCTGTGCTGTTTGAGCCACTCAAGCGGCTCGTTAAGGGGCCGCCTGCCTGACTCGTTTCCTCTTGCGTTCCTTTTTTCTCTCTCTACCCTCTCCCGGGCTGAAGACTGGTCAGTTAATTATTAAGCAGAGCCGCAGTGCCGCCCTTTCCCTGGGAAATCAATTACAGTAAGAAGTAGCTTGGAAACAGCTACACCTACATATCTGCACCGTGAGAGACAGCGGGGGAGAGGCAGACAGAGAAGTGGGAGGTGGGTATTATTTCATTCGTCTTCAAAATCAGTTTCTTTGTCATTCCCTAAGTGCCTCTTGCCTCCCCTGCTCAGTGCCTTCCTCTATTTGGCTCCTCTCATCTCTGATGCTAGGTCAGAGCATAGCTTTTCTCTTTCTCCTCCACTTTTTCCTCCTTCAACATTATTACCTCAGGACATCTCTACCTCCTTTCCCTAAACACTGCCAAAAAGATACCATGGATGCTGCCTTCCCCTCTATGTCCCCCACCCTTCATTATATCAGTATCATTTACAGTCCCTCCCTCCATCCCATATGCCACTTCCATCCTGCCATCCATCCTGAACATGTCTGCTGTCGGGCTTGTGATTTGTGATGCAGTGTTGTTGACATGATTGGTGTCCCTTAAGGGTGAGGATGACAGACTCCTTACCTGGCGTCCCTGGCGGGAGGGGGGGAGAGAGGGGGAGCATGACAGACAGGCGGCGTCTAGTGGGCTGATGTTACACCGTTAGATGCTGATGATGAAGAGGACGATGATGACGATGGGGGTGATGACAAAGTGAAGGCATGAGGAATGGACACGGCGGCAGTGAGAGGGTGGAGGGGTAGGGGGAAGGTGGGGGGTGGATGTCAGTGACAGGAGACAAGGGGTTAATACAAGCTTTCCCAACCAGTAGGGTCCCTCTGCTGCTAAAGTTCTCTCTTGAAAAATGAATGATCAAACTAGAATGACTGTCAACAGTTGTGGTTGCCATCTCAAAGTGAACAAACAAGCAGTGGCGGCTTCTGGGCTGAGCCAGTGTGAAAAACATCTGGCCAACTAAAACAAAATATTGCTATTTTTTAAAGTATAAACTTTTTCACTTGCTTTAATGAGATAGATGAGAAGACTGCCACTTTCATGTCTGCATGCTAAAGCATGGAGCTGGAGCTGGGAGGTGTTTAGCATGGCTTAGCATAAAGACCGTTTGCTAAGTTAGAAAATACACTTACCGACACCTCTGAAGCTCGCTAATTCAAACATATCTTGTTTGCTTAATCCTCATACATAAAGAAATGAAAACGACAATTTGTGGTTTTAGAGGAGTTACGCACTTCTCGGCCAACAAGAGCCAGGTGCGATTGGCTTGCCACAGCGGGGATGCAGTGCAGAAATACAGGGCGGATGGATAAACTGTTGTTCATCAAGAAATAGTTATAGTGTGTAAGGTGTAGTATGAGAACAGCAAAGTCTGTGTTGAGGTGGATGGATGAGCTGGCAAAACACAGGACTTTTATACAGGAAACCACTGTTCATTTCCTGTTTCAAACTTTTTCTTTTTTATGACAATGTTGTTTCTTTTATACACGGCTGCCCTGCAACTTTAACCGGGTGTTTACTATTGTAACCATGACGACAGAGGTCTAGCCTTAAGGAAGTATTTATTTCAACCCAACCCTGATCTTCTCCTAAACACAACCTAACCAAACTGTGATTATTCCTCAACTTTAACCGAGTGTTTATTATAGTGACCATGAAAACAAAGGTCTGGTACGCCTGCTGCTGGTACGCTCCTATGAGCTGTACAGTATCTGAGGGTAGTGACAAAAAAAACGATGTGGTTGTTTCAGTTGGAGGACACTGACAAACATAAACAAGGTTTTTTTTTTCTCTCCAAAATAATAAAGTATTCTTTTTTTAGTATTGCTTTTTGTTCAAATTGTATAATCACAATTTCGTGTTGAGTTACTCTGTAGAACAACTTTGTATTCTTCATTCCAGGGTGGCTAATAATTTCCAAGGAGCCTGGTTAGCAGTGCTTAAAGGGTTGCAACAAGATAGTTCTCTGGTAAAATTTGCTGTTCTTTTTCTTTGTATTTGCACTTTAGATATGAGCCATAAGCACCTATGTGTTATAAACATATAACAGTTGGGGTTTCGGGGAGGGGGGTTTCTAAGAGCGAAGTGGGTCACTTGCTGATGAGGGAAAAAAGGTTGGGTGTGCCTGGGTTAATATGAAGGGGTTAACAGACATCAGTATAATTATAGCGATTGTATTAAATGGACACATTGCCATGGCAGCAGTACACAGATGCTCTCTCAAGCCTTGACGACACTCATTTGTTTTCAAGGCACATCTACACAGACAGAATGAGTCAAAATTAGAGACGTGTCAGACGTCTGAGCTTCAGACACACACACACACACACACACACACACACACGCGCGCACACAGATTGGCGATTGAAACAAATGTGTGGTTGTGTGAACATGCTCTCTCTAATCTCTCTCCTTCTTTTCACCTACAATTCCTTCCCTGTTTCTGTCCTTTGCAGTTTGTGTGTGTGAGACAGAAAATGAACAGAGGAGAGAGATATTGAGGGAGAGTCCTCAAGCAGCGTGGAGAACAGAGAAGTTACGATCGAAGGAGGACAGCTTCAAGAACAGCATGATCAAAGGCGCCGAGTGCGTGACCATTTGGCTGCGGGTCGTCAGCCACACTGATCTCAATTCAGATCAAAGTCGATTGGTCCGTAGGCCTCTCTCTTTTGGTGGTGCAATGTTAACACTTAGCCCTCAGGGTGTGTTGTTGGTAATGGGGAGCATGAGGTCAGACAGATGTAGGTTTTTGATGGAGGTAAAACCTCTCTGCTGCAGAGCAGTGGAGCGTTAACAGGAGTCAGGAGCACTCGCCAAGTCAGGTAATGTGAGGTAAGGTTGGAGCCCCAGTGTCATTTATCCTCCACAGACATGGACGACATAACCTGGATCAATCATGGACTCACTCATTAGCAACATGACTGCTTAAATTCTTCAGTTCAAAGGATAAGCAGTGTTGTCCTTTGAGGATAGAGGTGTCAAGCGAACATCACAGGACCTAATGATTTCTGGGGCAGCTTGCTGAGTTCCCATCTGATCATGGGTCATGACATAACACCCAAAGAGAAATAAAAGTAAAAAAAAATATACACTATCAACTACACTTGGTATAAAAAAGTTATTTCAACTACAAAAATAAATAAACAAACATTTTTTGTTGAGGGTTTTAAAGACTGAATCAGAAATCACCATCTGTTTCCTGCAAATATATAGAACACATACGCAGAGATGGTGTGTAACTATGCATTATGGCCATTCAGAGACCAGTCAGGAATGATCTACGCTGAGGACTGAAACATCGCTGGATCTGGGAGAATTCATGTAAGCAGCCACAATCCATTAGTCAGGAAATGTGTGCTTAATGAGTGATTCACAGGGCTGGATCCGGACGATTAGCAGTCGCAAGAAATTTATGACATTCCAGGAATTCCAATACCAGTAGGAATGTGTGTTAAAGTATCTACTGAATATAAAAATACAAACAAGTGGATGATGAAGGGACAGAGGAAGAATAACTGATGCTGTACCAAGAAAATGAACACGCAAACAACACAACAAGTCTTCAATTACCCTCCGAGTGGTGTGAGAGGATGAGGAGGTTGACGCAGGACGCCCCGGCTCCGGAGCCGAAGATGGTGATCCTCTCTGGGTCTCCGCCGAAGTGGCCGATGTTCTCATTGAGCCAACGCAGGGCCTGGATCTGGTCCAGCAGGCCGTAGTTTCCCTTAGCGGACTGATCACCAGTACTGAGGAAGCCTGGAGAATAAAGAGAGGAGAGAAGGACAAGATGACGTCAGTATCAGTACCTTTAGTATTTAGTACCTGTCTTGACAAATGTTCCCTACTCCGGCCTGTAAATCAGTTTCTGACTGCTGAGAACAAGTGTGTTTGCGTTTGAGTCAATGTGTGTGCGCGCAACCCCATTATTCATCAGCAAGGAGTGACAGAAGCTGCATGAAGACAGCAAAGGGAGTGAGAGAAGAATCTGCTTTTTCAGCTCCTCTCTTGATGACGTTGACTTTGTCTAATGCCCTTGAGCAGGGAATTTTACAGAAAGCCACTTACACACCCGAGAAATATAGGTGACCCTAATCTGAATCACACCCATAACTGGATTACAAGTGATGACACATCATGACAGGATTTTAACACTTTACAATCTTTTTAGTCACTCAGTCCTCTATCAATATTCTATACTTTTCTGACTGTTAGCAAATCCAATATAAAGGCTACTACCAACGATGGACAGATTCTAGTGTTGTGTGTGTTTGTGTGTTTGTGTGTGTAGTCCTCTGTGCCATAGAGCTCCATTGTCAAAAAATTATTAAAAATACATCAGAGACATGTTGCTTCATTACCATGAACATGAGCACTGTAGTTTAGCTGACATTTGCCTCTCATGATTACAGCTGAGTATCTTCGATTACTCCACCAAAGACCGAAATCTATTCCATTTAAGTACCCATTAACTGGCGGGCTCTCGGATCCTAATGGGACTCTTAATTAGGTCTTTATTAAAGGCAGGTGCACTGGAAAGGTCATCCATTAAGCCTATACAGTAGAGGTTAAACACTTGTATACAGCTAGCTGCTAGAATCCACTGGGAAAGAAACACACACTATGTTGTCTGCAATGGGTGTGTAATTAGTGTTATCAAGATCTCAGCTATTTCCAATTAGATCCAATATAAAGTCACATTTCTCAATTCACTATACAGTGTTTCCTTTGTTCAGTGCTAATCAAATCATACAGTATATACAGTGTATTCATACGTATAGGTCGGTAGCTGGTTAGGAAGGTAAGGGTTTCTCTATGGACTGTCAGTCAGGTTTTCCTTTCAAGATATTTATTCAGGGTCCAGGCGCAGTTGTATTTGGAATAGTGGGTTTAAGAATACAAGTTGGGATTCTATAGGCGGGTTTCCAACTATCTGTTTTTATGCACATTTTCAATTTGGGAATTAAAAAAAACAAAGAAAAGAAAAAGGTGAAGGTGGAAAAGCCTGTGTATTGATAATAGTAAATGTGACATGCGACACAAAGAGAAATGCCACATTTTCACCATGTTTTCTACATTTTCTTCACCATCTGAGGTTTGATTACATTTCATTAGGTCATTTTGATGTTCCCTCCTGACTGGAGAAGTTGCACCACCAGTAGTTTATTTTGAGAAACCACAGTACTAATATTCACATAACAGTAGTGGATGGAAACATGCATCAATTCACATCTTATTTTGTTGAGTAATGGAAACATGTAGGTTAGAATGTTTGTGGTTAACTACACAAGGACAATGAGATAAATACTATCAAAAAAATGAACAACTGAACAACTAAAAATAAAAGTAGGGATTACAAAAATGATAAAACCAGAAATAGGAATCTTAGAATATACAGAAGAGAAAATAAACTGCACTGACAGGCATTAGACTGACTAGATCTCACTAAACAGAAAACCAACACTTAGTAGCAAGAGCCAGTCTGTGGATAAGGCGCCACCTTGTGGGAAAAACATGTCAGATGACCTGTACTCTCTCCCAATATTATATTTTACAACACATTGACTTCAGAACTACAACGCAGAATGAAGACATAGACAAAGGCAGATGAAACAGTTGTGGAGAGATTTCAACTGTGGCTGAATCTTTGCCATAACAGCGAGTACATGTGAACTACTGAGCATGACGCAGTCTTAATTAACAATTAAGCTAGTGGTTCCTGAGATATCGCGTTCACAAGGCCAAAACCATGCTTTGTGAGGTCACCGTGACCTTGACCTTTGACCTTTGGCGAGCAAAATCTAATCAGTTCATCCTTGAGCCCAAGCAAATGTTTGTGGGACAGACAAACAGACAGGAAACCCGAAAACATATTGCTTCCAGCCCTTGCTGTTGCCAGTGCTGAGGCATAAAAACAGACACACATAATGACATTAATCACTGAGTAATGAACGATGCACACCAGAAAGAACAGGAAAGTGCATCTCCACACTGTATTAAACAAGTATAAAACTTTCACGCGGCAGAAGTTGTCTGCCAGCTGCTGAAAAGGTTGATGTTGCAGTGGGAGAGGTGATGGCTCATCATCAGCCGACTGAAAGTGCTCCATGGAGAGTAAAACAATATGAGTGTTGTTCATGTTCGTTCATATGTTCATTTATCATGAATTTACAATTTCATTTGAGCAAAAAATGACTGCCATTGTCTGCTTCCATATGCTGTACTTACGTTGAGGGCTCATATACTGAAGCTCATGACATCGTCGCAATAATTTCTCTCTCTATCCTGCAAGTACAACTAAAATCAATTAAGAGTAATCATCTCAAATGATCCATAAAAAAACAAAAGGGATCGGAGCACATATCAGGAAGCACATCATGCATTTACTGGCTTTTGTGCTGCTCTTTAAACACCACAAATACACACAAATAAGCTGCATGTTTGGGTGCATTAATTAAGCCAAGCACAAACAAGAGGCAAATAAGCTGCCTAATGCCCTACTGTAATCACCATGATATATTAAACATAACCAATTATGCTAATGAGGTCATTAACTGAGCTAATTAATGCAATACATAGCAATACTTCTATGTCCGTGTAGTTTCTTGCACAAAATGTGGGAGCAGTTTCAATATGAAGTCCAGATATTTAGAGGAGGAAAATGAGAAAATCATTAATTATCATTATTTTATAAAGCGAGATCATTTATTGTTATGTTTTGCTGTTTAATTATTGTCCTTGTTAAAATGTGTGATGCGCTGGTGGGACATCAAAACACTGAAGCGACTGAACAGGGCTACACAGAGTCAGCACACATCCAGGATCCTAAAGTTATCTTGTTACAGCCAAGGCCGTTGTGTTTCCTGCACCTTCACGCTGCGTCCAACTGACTGTGAGTCAGTGTACGACAGCAGGCCACTTCACCCGCGCTCCCCTTCCTCTATAATCTGATAAAAAGGCTTGAAGAAACAGAGGAGCTGGTTAAAATGCCGCAATGCAAGATGAAAGCGCGGCTCTGCATGAATAGCCTTTAAAATGGCTGTGGTAAGGAATGGTGGTTAGAGGGGGTAAGGGGGAGAGAGACAGAGAGAGACAGAGGGAGAAAGAGGGAGAGAGAGAGAGAGAGTAAAGGAGAAGGAGAGAAGGATAGTGGGTGTTCTGTGAGTCCCGGATAGAGGCACAGTGTTTCATCTGCCTCCAAGACACCAGGGGTTGGCTTGCGCACACACACACACGCACACACACACACACGCGCGCACACACACACACACACATAGATACACACACACGTACACACAGGGACACTGATCAAAGGCTGACACTACAGAGAAGACTGCCTCCTTTTCTCTCCATCTCCCTCTCTTTTCCACACACACACACACACACACACAGACAAAGACGCACACATCACACATATACATGAGCGCACAAAGACAGAGGAATATTACGTACGTGCGCACGTGGAAACAGGACACATGCATACGCACAAAGCCTATGTATAATCATTTGAACATGCTAGCACCCACGCGGACCTGATGCACGCTCATATTCCTTTGTATTTTACTTTTGTGTATCTATCCTGCGTTCACAAGCAGCAATGAGCCTTTTATGTTCCATCAGAGAGCCTTGAGATTATATAGAACCAATGTGCTTGCACAGGTTTGTTGTGTGTGTGTGTGTGTTTGTGTGCAGCCATACATGTGATCATGATTTGTGTGTGACAGTGTGGTGCTTCTAACACACTGTATCCCATGTGAATCCATTGTTAGAGGTTGACATGGGTGCCAGAACTCCCTGTGTGAGTGTGAGTGTGAGTGTGTGTAGTGTGTGTGTGTGTGTGTGTGTGTGTGTGTGTGTGTGTGTTCTTGGCAGCATAGTGATCATTGTCTATCAGAGGAGTGTGTGCATCGTCCAGAGAAATGAACAGATGTGGGCGGCTCGAAGCATCTGAATTATGTATGGGACGCACACACTTTCAATATGACACACACACACACACACACAAACACACACACACATACACACACCCAAACCTCAGATTGTGCCCACTTCTTTCAGAGGTGATGAAAGCCACCTGCTTGTTAGATAGGCTGCACGTTCCCAAACGCTGTAGTATATTATTCTAATTGCAGCACCTTGCTGTTTATACCACCAACGCTGCAGCGGGACGACAGCATCATCCTGCTGCCACGCTGAACGCTTAGCAATTTCCAGAGGGTCACGCCGAATGATGCAAAAGGATTGGGAAGTAGGAGAAAAAAAGAAAAAAAGAAGGGGAAATAAGAAACATTCCTCTTTTCTTCAGTGAGCTTAAAAAGAGGCTTTTTTCCACAAACACCACTCTGGCTTTAGACACAGCGATTGGCCTTGGGTGATTTGCTCCGCTCCTCTCCCTCTTTCTCTTTGCGCTCTTTCTCTCTCTAAAGTTGTTATTACTATTGCCTAGCTGTGACAACCAAATTATCTGTGAAATTATTCAGATTTTATGCCCTCACACTAGGCAGGACCCCTCTCAGTGTGTGCACATGTGTGTCTGTGTGTGTGCGTATGTATGTGTGATTTGCACCCTTTGCCGAGCAGAAAAACTGTGACATTTTGACGTGAACAATCAGCTGAATGAAGAAGCGACCTGCTTGGTGCCAGCACCTCTGTCTAATCTCTTTCTCTCTTGCTATTTCCAAATTCCTAATATTTTTCTGTATTTTTTAATCAGTGTCTTGCTTTTTTGATCTCCCCGGCAACTTCCACATCTTTTCATC